CTCTAAAAAAAAAAAAAAAAAAATTAAGATAAAAAAAGTAATATTTTTTTAAGTAAATATTTTTTTGTTAAATATAAAATTTTTAGATTAATTATAGATTGTAAAAAACAAAAAAAAAAAGAAAAAAAAAAATTTTTATCAAAAATTAATTATATTAAATACCTTTAATAATGTCGTCGGAAAAAATCGAAGAAATTACGGTTTCTTCTGCACCCTCGAATAATGCGGGAATAAGTGAAAAATCTGAAAAGAAAGGTGCCGAAATCATTGAACACGAACATGTTGAAATGAAGGAAGATGTTCCACCTGAATTAGAAGCTTTGCTTCATACCGATCCTGCTGTTGGTTTAACTACTGCTGAAGTTCAAAAACGTATGGCTGACTTTGGTAGAAATGAATTGGCCGAAGTTAAAAGGAATCCCATTCTTAAATTTTTATCTTTCTTCACTGGTGCAATTGCTTATTTGATCGAATTGGCCTGTATTTTTGCTGCTGTCGTAAAACATTGGGTAATTATTATTTTATTTTATTTTATTATAAAATTATAAAAAAAAGTAATTTATATTCAAACTTTTTCAATTTTTTATATAGCTCGACTTTGGTATTATTTTGGCTTTATTGTTCGTTAATGCCTTTATCGGTTTCATTGAAGAAGCACGTGCTGAATCAGCTTTAGATGCTTTAAAACAAACTCTCGCTTTAAAAGCAAAAGCTTGGCGTGATGGTCAATTCATTGAAGTTGATGTTGGCGATCTCGTCCCTGGTGACGTCATTGGTCTTCGTCTTGGTGACATCATTCCAGCTGATGCTCGTCTTCTTGGAATTTCTGTTATGGGTGGTGAAACTGAAGGAACTCTTTCAGTAGATCAATCTGCTTTAACTGGTGAATCTCTTCCAATTGAGAAAAAGAAAGGCGATACTGTTTATTCTTCTTCTGTCGTAAAACAAGGTCAAATGTTGGCTGTAGTTACAAAAACTGGTTCAAATACTTTTATCGGTCGTGCTGCCAATTTAATTTCAATCACTGTTGAACAAGGTCATTTTCAAAAAATTGTTAATGCTATTGGAAATTTTTTGATTTTAATTACTACCGTTTTGGTCTCTATCATTTTCATTTATCAAATGGTTAAATTCCGTCATACTCCTGATGGTGAATTCCTTACAGTTCTTGGTCATGTATTAGTATTAACAGTTGCTGCTATTCCTGTTGGTTTACCAACAGTTTTATCTGTAACTATGGCTGTTGGTGCTAAACAATTAGCTGCTAAAAAAGTTATTGTTAAACGTCTCACAGCAGTTGAAGAAATGGCTTCAGTTTCAGTTCTTTGCTCTGATAAAACTGGTACTTTAACTCTTAATGAATTGACTTTTGATGAACCTTACCTTTGTGATGGATATACAAAGAATGATATTCTATTATTATCTTACCTTTCTGCTGAACCTGGTGCAAATGATCCAATTGAATCTGCTGTTCGTTTTGCTGCTGAAACTGATTTGGAAATTCTTAAATCACGTCCAAACAAACATGAAGTTCCAGGGTATAAAGTAACAGGATTTGTTCCTTTTAATCCAAACACAAAAATGTCAAATGCAACAGTTGTTATTAATGAAACAAATGAAGTTTTTAGAGTAGCAAAAGGTGCTCCACAAGTTATTATTAAACTTGTTGGTGGTAATGATGATGCAGTTCATGCTGTTAATACTTTAGCTGGAAGAGGTTTACGTGCTCTTGGTGTTGCTCGTACTATTCCTGGTGATCTTGAAACTTATGAATTAGTTGGTATGATTACACTTCTTGATCCTCCACGTCCTGATTCAGCTGAAACTATTAGACGTTGTAATGAATATGGTGTTGAAGTTAAAATGATTACTGGTGATCAATTGATTATTGCTAAGGAAGTAGCTCATCGTCTTGGAATGAGTAGAGTAATTTTAGATGCAGGACATCTTGTTGATCCTGATAAATCTGATGAAGAAGTAACACAACATTGTGAACGTGCTGATGGTTTCGCTCAAGTTATTCCAGAACATAAATATCGTGTTGTAGAACTTTTACAAAAACGTGGACTTCTTGTTGGTATGACTGGAGATGGTGTAAATGATGCTCCAGCTTTAAAGAAAGCAAATGTTGGTATTGCCGTACATGGATGTACAGATGCTGCTAGATCAGCAGCTGATATCGTTTTATTAGCACCAGGACTTTCTACTATTGTTGATGGTATCACCACATCTCGAGCAATCTTTCAACGTATGAGATCTTATGCTCTTTATCGTATCACATCAACTGTTCACTTTTTAATGTTCTTTTTCTGTATCACATTGATTGAGGATTGGCAAATGAGTGCTATTTTACTTATTTTAATCGCCTTATTGAATGATGCAGCCACTCTCGTAATCGCAGTTGATAATGCTAAAATTTCACAAAAACCTGATAAATGGCGTCTTGGACAGTTAATCACATTATCATTAGTTTTGGGTACTTTGTTAACAGCGGCTTCATTCGCACATTATTATATTGCAAAAGATGTATTCCATTTTGATTCCGAAAAAATAGCAACTGTCATGTATCTTCACATTTCATCATGCCCTCATTTCGTCATTTTCTCAACACGTCTTTCAGGATACTTTTGGGAAAATATTCCATCAATTACATTCATAATTGCAGTCTTAGGTACACAAGTATTTGCTATGCTTATTTCAATTTACGGATTACTTACACCAAAAATTGGATGGGGTTGGGGAGTTACCATCATCTGTATTTCATTAGGATACTTTGTATTCTTAGATTTCGTTAAAGTACAATTATTCAGATATTGGTCATTTGAACTTACAGCCAAATTATGGCCATCAAAAACAAGAAGAACCAAATTACAAGATCGTAAAGCTTATGCAATTAATCATGCAAGAATTGTTGGTAATATTTCAAAAGTTCGTAAAGTTGTGATCATGTCAAGAGTTTTATTGGCTTTTAAGAAGAAGTCATCAACAAAGGCAATTGAAGTTTAAATAGAATGGTTAAAAAGGCATTTTGTATATTTATTAATCATTTTTTAAAAAAAAAAAAAAAATCATTTTTCCTGTGAATCAAAAAAGAAAAAAAGTTTTATAAGAATAATTTAATATTTTAATTTTTTTTTGTATATGTATATTTTTAACTCACTTTTAATATAGAAAATGTCAAATGTATTTTTTACTTTATTAAAAAAATAAAAAAAAAAAACTTGAATTAAAAAATCAATTTATTAAAAAAAAAAACAAAATTTTGAATTTTTAAATTTTGAATTTGTTTGTTTTTTATTTTTTTATTTTAATCATTTTAATCGATGTTGTAAACAAAAAAAAATAGGCATAGAAAGTTCTGAAGAGATGAACATCCTATCCTTTACATTAAAGTTTTTTTAGTTATCTAAGTGCCGGAAAGACAAAACATTAAAGTTTTTAATTGTGGAAGTGATATATATATAATATATATACCGGTAAAGACATTAAAATTATTAATTGTGGGAGTGCCGGAAAGATGAACAGCTTTTTTTACATAATCATTTTTTCTTTTTCTTTCATTTCTTTTTTTTTTAAAAAAAAATTCATTTAGTAATGAGCTTTTGTTTTTTGCGATCCATGAGAACTTTTTTTAATGAATGTAACTGTATTTTGAATGTAGTTTGAATGTACCATGTACCGTAATTTGAATGTACTGGTAATCATGACCTTTTGCATTATCTTTGCATTTTTAATGTAACGATTGACTGTACAATTTTTATTACATGAAACGTTCATGCATATAAATTTACCAGTTTCATAAAATTTTTTTTAAAAAAAACTTTGAGAATTAATAATTTTTCGATCACGACATAATTCCAATTAAATTATTTCTACCTTTTTTTATTTAATAAAATTAAATCCAATTATTTCCCATAATTTTTTTTTTTTTTTAAAATAAAATAATTATCGAATGCAGCAGTACTTGCATGATTTTGTCGTGTGGATTGAAAAAAATACTCTAAAATCTGATACTTTTTTCCCGTATGACTTGACCCCTTTAACAAGTCAGTCTGCCCCATGATCAAATGATCAATCATATCTTTAACCTATTATAATTATTATACCTTTATATGTTAAATTAAATGCAAAACCTTGTAAATTCGTTTTTTTAATGGTTAAAAAAAAATAAAAATAAAAATAATTTAAATTCTTCTTATCATAAAAAAAAAAAACCTGTATGATGTCCACTAATAAATCAATTAATTAAAAAATCCAAAACCTGATTTATGAATATTTTTTCGGATTAAATGGACTAAATCCGGTTAGTTATCTGGTAATATAAAAAAAAAAATTTTTTTTTTTCTTCTTTTCTTCTTTTAATACAACTTTGATAAAAAAAGTTATTTATAATTTTAATATAATAAATAATAAATAATTTATGTAGTTTTTTATCCTTTTTTTATTTTGTCATTTATTTTGTCATTTGATCCCATCAATTATTTAATTATTTACCGCAATGATATTATTATTATTCCTCAATCCGGATTTGAATGGGTTATAAAAATAACTTACCTTCTATGAAATGTGGTATTACTTTGGTATACTGCGCGTTAATTGTCAATGATGTCATCAATAAAAAATGCGGTGACACACTTAATCTCTTTAAAATCGCAATACAATTGATATTGATTACTTAATAAGTAATTACGGTAAATTTCATTTTTAGAAAACGAGAATAAAAAATATTACCAGAATATTTACATGCCCGAATAATGTGCCAAGTATTTCCCTGAAAAGAGCGACTATTTAGGATAATTTCGTTATTATCCCGTTATTATCCTAAATAGGACTTCGCAATTATAATGAGCAATTTTTTAGTTATTATGATATATTGCCTTCCTAAATAGGACTTTACATGATTAATTGATTATTGTGATTGTATTTTTCTTCAATGATTTAAAAAAAGAATTTTGTTAGAAAAAAGATTCTAATCAACAAACAAAAATATTGTAAAAGCTTTTATTAAATCGATTTTTAGACATATAAAGATTGGAATACTATTGACGGACAGGATAATAGAGACACTAAAAAAATACGCTCCATGATTTTATGAAGATAACGATGAAGATGAATGAAGATGAAGATGAAGATGTCGATGTCGATGTCGATGATAGTGATGATGAAGATGACATTCTTTAAAAATTAATTAAATCTTTAAATCGATAGGTGTTACAAATATGTTTAACGAAAAATCTTCCTCCATTCTTGAAAATGCTTCTTTAAAAATAAATATAATAGGTTAGAATCACGTGATTTTTCAAATTTTTCTTAGATTAGCCAATCAGAAGATATATATATATCCTTTCTCCCGGTCTAATTTCAAATTTATTGATTGGAATTCTTACATTAAATTAGCTTCTTTTCACATACAAACTAATATGATGGGCAAAATTCGCATATTGAATGAGTTTCATATACATGTTGCACATAATGCGACATAAGGTCTCACGCCAGGATTTTTTAAAAAATGGGAAATCTTAACGAAGTCACGTGATAAAAATGACCGACAAAGCGACATATCGCAAAACATATTCCTTTATTTTATTTATTTATTTTTTTTTTAATTAGTAAAATTAGTTTAATAACTTTAATTAATTAAATATACATAAAGATGATGATGAATTTAAAGATATTATAATACAAACAATTTTTTCTTTTAATAATAATAAAAAGAATTATAATTAATTAATTTGATCTGATGATAAATTTGATTATAAATTTGATGATAATAAATTTAATTACTTGTTATTTTTTTTTTGAAATATAATTAAGATACATTTAAAATATCAAAATACTTTTATCATACTTTATTATAGTGATCCGATATTCATCCTATAATTTTCAAGAGGATTGATCCGTTGATAAATCCTCTTGAAAATTATAGGTTGAACAAAAATAGGATCGGATCACTATTTTATTTATGGGAAAAAATAATAATTTATTCTCAAACTTTTTCTAAATTCTTACGTATTTATTACTAAAAAGAGGCCAGATTTTCGTGATGCGATCAATTTAACCCTAAAAGTGTATTCTCTGAGAATTATATAAAAAGGTGGGTATCCCCTAGATAAAAGTATCTTAAACTACAATCACATGATATGACGTTTGATGACGGGCATTTCTCTGTTGATTTAAAAAAATCAATCACTTCCAATCACTTCCTTCTCACTTCCTTAACGTTAACCTCAATCATATCTTATAAACCAACTAGCTAAGCAAAATTAAGTTTATTCAACTTGAAAATTTATAAGCTAACTCTAATATAATATTTTTAATTAAACGATATGGATGGTAAGATCTAGGGAATGTATAGAGTTTATTTAATTTGCTAATAACAATATTCTGTCATTTCAGATATACAATTAGAAAAAGGTTTTGCGACTAATGCAAATAAAAATGCAGAACCGGAAGGCTCTGCAACTAATGCAAATAAAAATGTAAAAAGTTCTGCAAAAACACCTGCTCCAACTGGACCATCAGATGATTCAACTGGACCAGATTTGACAGATGATTTATGAGTGACTCTTAATAATTTGAGTGATTATTCGCGTCTGTTTTACAATAATCTTAATAATAATGAAGACAAGGTAGCTTATCTAAAATCGATCCAAGAATGTAATTTGCAAGCTCGTAGAAAAGGAGTATGATTTGTTTTGTTTTTCTATAATTTGCTTTTGTTTATATTCATCGCAAAGATTTTTCACTTAAATAACTTATAGATTCTACGTATTCTCAATTTTTTACATCTTATTTAATAGAGTATTGTCATGAAACTACTTGGAAATACAATTGTATTCGCCATTGTTGTTGGTATGTTCGTGGGTAACCTAAAATCAAAAAATGAATTATATCAAGCAATTTCATATGGCATCATTTATTTCTCACAATATACTTCCACTATTCTGGATTTGTATTGGAATTTGGGTATCAATAAAAATTTTTTTCGTTTTGCAAGTTATACATCAGTACCAGAAGGTTGTTTTCTCGTACAGTTATAGTAGGTCCCCGGACATCACATATATAACTCACATTTGAGTTTTAGCAAATTCAATCAAAATTAGGTTAAACTCATAATTTTAGATAGAGCAAATTGATTGAAAATTAATTAATAGTCATAATTATGAGTTTTGGCAAATTGTGTTAATTTTACAAAGTCATATTTTATATTTGAGCAAATTGGTACTCTTGCATTGAATTTTTTTAATAATTATTTATATTTAATTTATTATTNTTTTTAACTTTTATTGATAATATTTTTAAAAATATTAGTTTCGGGGTCCGGGTTATATTTTGGTCAAAATTAAGCATAATGCAGACCAAAAACTGTCCGATTAGTTTCGCAACATTTTATTTTTTTAATAATTATTTATATTTAATTTATTATTGTTATTAATTATTATTTTATCTATAATTTACACATTTTTAATTATAAATTATAAAAATTAATAGTTTAATTTATATTAATTATTTTTTATTGATAATAAAAAAAAAAGATTGTTACTGAAATTATATTTTATTAAGCAAATTTAAACCTATATTATTTAGAATTTTACTATAACTCATATTTTGAGTTTTAGCAAATTAGTATAGATTTAAAATGGGATAATTTGATTTTTAGTTAGTTAAACATAGCTTGTGCTTGAATTTTATTAATTTTTGCCACAAGTAACTTTAGAGAATACCAGGTATTCAAGAAAAAATTACAACAAAGTGCAGAACTAACTAATACAAGAACAAATAATCTTCCATAAAGAAATTACATAAAAGAAAATGCTAAGATTATAAACCTAACACCCTCTCTATATAAATTACTACAGCTACTCCCCCAAGTTATATCTCAAACAAGGTAAAGTCGACTATGCTATACGTATCCAGCGAGACCTCGCTACATTTAAAGATCAAAGAACCCCATTGCCAAATATCATTAGCACCATCAAAAACGCACAAAATTCAATTTCCCCTATTTGACTACATATTATGGATAACAAACCTATTTCACAAAGGCTTCAGAGAACTTTTTAGTGGTATGCAGTCCAGCTGATAGGAAACTTTTTAGTATCATGCAATCCTGAAGGAACACCCACCTCATTGTGAACGATTCCAAACGGAGGACATTCACCTCATTGTGAACAATCTTTCGACCTAAAATCTACCTAGATAAGTCAATCCAATGATAGTTCAACATGTGACCACCTTGATTGGCATACTACAAAAACTGCAGTACCTAACCTGTCACCTCCTTTATCACCCGAGTGATCATTGATTTTTTAAAAATAGCATATCGGCTTATTATTAGCATTAGACCTAAATTAGAGACCCCAAATTACTATTGAAATTGCATGTGACTATTGTAATTATTACACTACATCATATGTCCATCACTCGACTCACACACTAAAAAAAACCCTAAAAAAAAAAATTTACTAACAACTGTCACGTCAAATCCATCTCCTCGTTATAAACCCCATCTCTTCCAAAGGTAATCTATACAAATCATACTTAGCTTAATATTTTTCAAAACTTCATATACTTATATTATTTATTTTGTATTTTAAGTAGTATGAATCAAATTGAAGTCTCCAACGGCATTGTTTCACCTCCAATAACTCCAATAACTCCAATAACTCTAACAGCTACTATTGATTTAAGGTTTGAGTGTAATGTATGCAAAAAATTATTTTAAAAAAAAAGTGGTTTGACAAGACATCTTAATGTTGTTAAAAAATACAATATTTTACGTTCAGATCTTAACATTTTGCCTAAAAATACTACATAACAATTTAAAGGTATCTTAGTTTATTATATTCGTAAGAAACTACCAAGAGGTTATAAACAATTAGGCAAACAAACAGTTTCTGTTCCTGCTACTGAAAGTCAATTTTACGCAGTGTTTAAAAATTATATACATTATTATTCAACTAGAAAGGGTTTTTACAAATATATATTTCGTGAAGTTTCAGCAAATCAGATGCTGGCAAATATTTTAGATATACAGAAATGGGAGGTTAAATTTTATGAACAACAACAACGTATTTATGTTATACTTTGTGATGATGATGATAATATTGAATCTGATGATGAAAATCCTATTTTACGAGCTACTAAACAATGTAAATCAAAATACAAATGTGGGCAACTCATAGTGGAATGGAAACAACTATACATGCTGCCCAAATTATTTTAGGATGCCATTTGGGATGCCATAATTCATTCAGTTTATATATAATTTACTATGTAAAATGCCAAAATAATTTGGGATACCATAATTGAATTTGGGATTTTACTTATAATTACGGCAGTCCAAAATAATTTGGGTAGCATGTCAAAAAAACATTGATTTTAATGGTAATTTCACTAAAGCAGGACATATTTATTTTTCATTTCTTTAATAGTCAAGCTATGATTCAATGAAAATAAATATTTATTTTTGATTTTTTGATTTTTTAAATATGTATTAAATTGGTATAATTACACGATAATAGATGTAGTACAAATTATATTAGAAATTAAATGATTTTGTAGCAAAGAAGTAAAATTATTGGATGTCTGATGATATTTGTAGAAAATGATTTGGGACTATCTGTTAAAAATAAATAAGCAAATAAAAGTAATTATCGGTTATATTATTGGATTCGTCTCAATGAGAGAATTCTAATGATAGTAAAATCGAATTCTTAGCTTCAATATTGATAGAATTACAGTCAACTCCCTCTATAGTCACTCCCGTTATAGTCACATTCTACTATATAGTCACACCAGTTGAATGTTCAAAACACTTTATTATTAAAATCTATCCTATATAGTCACAATCTATCTATAGTCACTATCACACCTATCCTCAAAAATCTTATATTAAAAAGAACCGTTTATAAT